CTCTACTGCTGGAAGCGTTGTTGTTGCCGTCGCTGTTGGGCATGGTCGTGCGCGCGCATGTATGCTTCCCGAGGTGTTGGCGAAGGTACTGGGTAATGGCATCTTGACAAGAGTAAAGCTGCCTGTACTACTCAGTGCATGCGCATGGTGACCGCATGTTGTGCATGTTGGGAGATGGAGAGTGTCGTTAAGGAATGGAGGGTCCCACTCGTGGCTGTCCTCTTGCGCGGGCATGCGCCGCATGCGACAGGAGACACGCGCGAGACCCATGAGATGACGATGATCACGTGCTTGCTTAGCGCGTCAATCACGCGTCTCAACTCGCCCAGGCGCTCTCGGGATGCCCCCGAGGTCCCTTCGCAAGACACGTCCCCTACGCGCACCCAGAATCATCAGCCACACTTCATGCTGCGACACTAGGTGCTGCTTCAGTATGGAATATTTGGCCTGTTCAAATTATCCCGCCATCGTCGCTCTCGGCCTTAAGTATGGCCTTGGGCATGGACGTAGCTGAAAGCCCCGCACTCAGGGCATCCCTCCTACATTGTAAGCGCATGTCCAGTAAACCATACTAACACGCTACACAACTGCATCTTCCGCATCGCGCACAAACGAGCCTCTACGAAGTACTATGGCCGACCTCTCGAGAGAAGACCTGCCGACTTCGCATAGCCCCCACCTCGTCATCCGACACCCTACCGAAGAAGAGTGCACGACAATTTCCACCAATACATCCACTGAATGGAAAGACTCGCTTTCACTCGCGAAATACTTAGAAGAGGGACAATTCCTCGCTACGGTTCCTTTAGCCCGGGATAGAGGCATGACAGCGTGGATCTTGGTTCACAAAGATCAAGCTCCCAATGAACGTCAAATCTTGTGTTCTTGCGAGAGTTTCTCTAAACGCTCACTCACGAGCGATACGAGCGGCGCTATCAGCGAGAACATTGTGCATGGCGTGGCCAGCGTTTTCTCCCCGAGCGAGTACCGCGGCCGAGGGTATGCGGCGCGCATGATGCGTGAATTGGCGAGGACCTTGCATACGTGGCAAGCAGAAGGATATCCATGTGTAGGAAGCACGCTGTATTCCGACATTGGGAAAGAATTCTATGCGAAACTAGGCTGGCTCCCAAACTCCACCAATTCGCACATCGAGCTGCAACCCTGCGCCATCGCGTGGCCTTCGCCGGCTACACCAGTTATCGAGGAAGAGATAGGAGATTTGTGCAAGCGGGACAAAGACTTGGCTCGGTCCCGCATGGCAATACCCACGCAGGAGGCGAAAACTCGTTTTACGATCATCCCAGATCTTGAACATATGCTCTGGCACATATCCAAAGAGGTGTTTGCGACGAAACACCTCTTTGACCGGATACCCAATGCGAAAGGAGCGATAGCTGGCCCGCACGGCAGCCAAGTATGGGCACTTTGGACGCATCGATATTACAGTCATCCTGACGCAAGTACGTCACGCAACGTGCTATACATACTTCGGCTAGTGATGGAGGTCGATGAGACTGCAACAAGGCTATCTTCCGATGCAGCAAAACTGCCTGAGCCTGCCATGTACGAGCAGCAGGCAGTATACCTTCGGGCGGTTTTGCAGGCCGCCCAGGCCGAAGCCAAAGAATGGAAACTCGATGTCGTCAAGCTCTGGGATCCTACACCCTTGGTTCTAGACATGCTTGCTCAAAGTGGGCTTGATTTCGAGGTTGTAGAACGGAAGAACGACAGTATTGCTAGCCTTCTTTGGTACGATGCAGATGGCGGTGTCAGTGACGAGAGGCCATTGTGGCTGAACAACGAGCACTACGCGTGGCAATAGGAGTTGGAAGACCTGATGCCGATGACATTCGAGTCGTACATGTAGTGCTGGTTCAACTGCACAGTTTTTGCGTTTACCCTACGAGAGAGGTTTCGATGAAAAGTCTGGGACAAGATCGTTGATCATCTTTCTCCTCTCGAACTCACCGTGGAACAATTCGCTACCAGTCGCGTCGCCTTGTGACTACATCGCGTTGAGCATAGCGCAGTGGCGGTCCAGTACCACAACTCAGTTTAACAAAGTAGGACTCTTCTTTCACACCTATATCGACAACTGCACGGGCTGCTGTATTTCAATTGCTCGCGCCATGACCCAGATACATTTGAGTTTTCGCCTTTGATGGCAGTACTGGAGTGTACCCAGGTGTGTCAGCCCCCACAGCGCCAGGGGAAACTCTTGTCATCGGAGAGGAAGTAGACTTACCTGTGATGATGTTCTCATCAAGCGCGACGTCGCTTTGATCGATTTTCGGCGCGCTTTGCAATTCCCAATAAGCGGGTGGCATCAGAGTGGTTCGAGCTGGTGGGTCGACATGCCAGCAAGAGTGGGGTATCCACTGCGGACGCCAATCTGTATTTGTGGAGTGAGCACTGGGCAGGACGCGCAGGCGTTTGCGAGATCAAGAACGTACATTTTCCGGTGAATCAAATGTGCGAGTATGCACAGCGTCAGCGATGTCACGTACTGCTATTGGTTGAGGTTTGCAAACCCCGCTTCTGTGCCACCTGCCCGCGGGTTTGAAGCACTAGGTATCGACACACTATTTGTTTGGTTCAAACCTCCCTCATGCAGCTTACACAGGGAGCAGACAATTTCGGAAGCTGCAAACTGCCTAGGTGTACTCGACCCTAACTCTCAAACACGTCGCATAGTCATCGATTTCCAACTGCGATCTACCAACCTCATTCGAATCCAGACTTGTTCAACCCAACGGATCAGCTTTAGCTTCTCTTTTCAACCGTCATGTTTTCTCCAAGTAATACGGATAACCGAGAAGCGGACGGGCAAGACAAACCAGGAGTAAACCAGAACCCGCACGAGTCAGCTGCAGACTCACCGGTGCCATACTCGCTTTTCACAAAGAACGAACGATACGGAATTGTTGCTATGATCACCCTGGCAGCCTGGTTCTCGACTCTGAGCAGTTTCATTTATTACCCTGCCCTTCCGATGGTTGCCAAGGATCTGGACTCGTCGATTACGATGATCAACCTTACCGTCACGTCCTACTTGGTCGTATCTGCCGTCGCTCCCGCGGTTGTCGGAGATGCAGCTGACATGTTTGGACGCCGACCCGTTTACGCAGTCACCCTTCTGCTGTATGTCGCCGCGAACGTTGGGCTTGCAATGCAACACTCAGCTGTGGCACTCTTACTGCTACGCATGGTGCAAAGTGCAGGGATATCTGGCATGTGGCCCCCGCCAGGTTCTTGACGAGCATGAATGTGCAGCAAGCTGACAACTGTGAACCAAGATCAGGCGCTTTCTCCATCTCATATGGTGTTATCGCCGACATCTCAGCACCAAGTGAGAGGGGGGCCTTTGTATCTGCTGTTTCATTTGGGTGAGTGAAATCGCTACACAGCGTCACACTCTAGATCAGCTTCTTTTGACACTCGATAGGATCACCACCGCGCCAAGCCTGGGCCCGGTCATAGGTGGCGCATTTGCCTCCGGTCCTGGTTGGAGATGGATATTCGGATTTCTAGCCATCGTGTCCGGCTTTTGTTTGGTCACACTATTACTCGCCTTACCGGAGACCAATCGGAGCATTATCGGGAACGGCGGTATCAAACCTTCAAAGCTATTGGAGCCTATCATCAGAGGTATCATGCGGCCATGGGACGGCCAGCGCGGCCCGAGTACTCCGCCCCCACCCCTTCAAGTCAAGAGAATACCGAATCCAATCATGAGTCTTCGCGTATTGTCACGCAAAGACGTGGCTGTAAGCATTATGCCTGGAAGTTTCTTGTACACTGTTTACTGCTGCATTCACACATCACTGTCGACAACCTTTGTGCAGGTCTACCATCTCAAAGAATGGCAAGTCGGCCTGTCATATCTTCCATTTGGTGTCGGCGCGATTCTTGCGACTTTGATCTCCAGCAAGTGGATAGACCGAGACTATCGTATTGTAGCGAAGGCCCATGGCTTGCCCGTGACTAAAATGTCTGGGGATGATTTGTTGAATTTTCCCATTGAAGAAGCTCGTATGAGGAGCGCATTCGCGCCCGTCTTTTGTGCTTTTGCCTCCATCTTGGTCTATGGCTGGCTGGTCAATGAGCGTCTAGTGAGCAGAGTGGCGTCCCGAAGGGTTTCATTCGTTGGCTGACACGCCTTAGCACCTTGCAGGACCTCTGATCTGCCTTTTCTTTGCGGGCCTTTCTATCCAGACTTGCTTCAACGTAAAAGCCCTCAGCTACAGTTCATGATAGCCCATCGCTAACTGTCTTAGATCAACAACACTCTACTGGTTGATATCAATCAAGACATGCCAGCAACGGCTCAGGCTTCGTCCAATATCGTCCGTTGTGCCCTTTCTACCGTCATGATAGCCGTTCTCCAATACCTCATAGATTCTATAGGTTTTGGCTGGACCTTCGTTATCATGAGTTCGTTTTGCCTCATTGCCGGTTTCTTTTACTTCATCGAGCTAAGATTTGGACGAAGGTGGAGACTGGCCCGGAATGGGTTGACGGTTCACTAGGTAAGATGCAAAATCACACTTAGTGCAGAAATGGGAAGTCTTCAGCCATTGGTTTGTACAGGCCGGAAATTACGAACACATGTCTCATTCTCCCTGATACCCGTTCGGATACTTTTCCAGAATTCGCTGCATATCCGCAATGGCCCTGCTTTATATCAGTGGATTCGTGCGTGGTAAGAATAGTCGGTGCGTACATCTTTCGAAAGTTGCTGTTGTCCGAGTACAAGGCTGAGGCGCAAAAGTGTCCGTTTCTTCGTTACGTTAGCGGCAAAGACATTGGTCTTGGCTGGTTTGCTTACATAGCATAAAGAAGGTTGCGATCCTCGTAGTCATCTTCGGGTTCTGTTATCGGAAAGAACTTGTGATATTCTCGCATCCACTGCCGGCCGAGCTTGTAGCGCGGGGTGGCCATACTACCGACATCGTCTTTTTTTTATCGAAAATCACCTCGTCAGTCCCATTACAACTTCAACAATAGAGTAGCTGCTTACATTCATTATGACCCCAAAATACAGATGGGTCAAAGTATACTGGGTCACCGGTAGCTGCATTGGTACCCATGTTACCGCACCAAATGTTGCCATGGAGTGCAACGGGTTTGAGACTTCGACCATGAGTGTTCAGGGGTCGAAGAAGGCGAGGAATGACCTTCTCTTTGAGACCAAGTACCAGTCTTTCAATCTCTTCACTTGGGCCCTGCGATACCAACTCCTGGTCGACAAAGGACTGAAAGCGGCGGCTGTAGAGCTCCTCCCATGTCTCACTCCATGTCAGATCCTGATACATACTTCCTTCGTGGGTCATGACATGGTAACCGAACTTCGTCGGAGCTTTCGGGTCCACCATGCTGTCGTGATGGAGTTTAGCAAGCATGGCAGAGAATTTACGAATGTCCGGGAGATCTTCGATCATCTCCATAAATTCAGCGAGATAGAAGTGCTTGCTTGGATCAGATACGTATGTGCCCCAAGCAATGGCACGTGGGATTCCTTCTAAAGACCGATGTTCAAAGTCAGAGCTGTGTCAGTGTTCATCTACCTAGGTCGCGTACCTGGAGTGTACTCATGCAAGGTTTTGACGCCATAGTATTCTCCTCTTAGCATACTCATGCCTAATTCCCCACTGGAGACCTTCAGGAAATACTTCTTGGGGGTTCCATCGGCTAGTTGAACATCGATACGCGCAGTGCGTGTCCAGAAGCTAGCGCCGTGTGATTTTGCTCCCATCACTTTGCATCCCGGCGGTAACTCTTGGTGGCGATCAGTCCAGTTCTTGTCAGCACTCGGGAGATTTACTTACGTTCAACGATGGCTTGGTCTACATCAATAGCCTGCGACGTAAGTTGTTTCGTTGGCTCTGGTATCCACGTAATTTCCGTCATGCTTTGAAGCGAGTTCGAGATGGTCTATGTGGGTCGACAATAGTTTTAAGGCTGGCACTGACTAGAAGATTTGGCCTTACAAGGTTGAGTGAGTATTAAATCTGGATGAAGAGAGACATCGGCGGGGTCGTTATTTGGGGCGAGGTTCCACAGAGCGGGTGTTACATAGAGCTTTAAACCCGATTGGTTGGCCAGTGAGGGATGCAGGATGCGGGTGAGAAGGAATGGCTGCCCAGCTGCCACCCAATGTCCTCTGCTCTGCAGGCGCTCACCGGCACACGCCACTCATGCGCATTCGTATCGCCTCGATTGCACGCGATTAGGAAGGCGACAACACATCGTTGCGCTGACCAATTGGTCTGACCCACTACCAGGCTGTGGCTTGGAACATCATTGCTTTTGCGGCTGTTTGCTGAAACCCATTTCCACTCCGCTGTCGTATCTTGTTATGTCTTTATAGGTTAATTGGTTGCATTTTTGGGAAGAGTCTGACTCTGCATTGCCCCATGTACACTAGCCTGACCTTCTAGCGACCTGTTTTCATCTCCAACTCCACTCAATCTCGCCAGCTCCACATCTTCAGAGACCCACCTGTTCTCATTGTTTGTCCAGGCAGCACGATAACTCGACTTTCTCTAATCAAGTCCATGCGATGGATGACGTAAGAGGCCCACAGCTTTTAGTCTCAAATGAACGACTGATTCAATGTTACAGGATGTCAGCGATCTCCCCGACATCGATAAGAGCATCGAAAAGCGGAAAACTGCGAAGACCAGCAGTGCCAGCATCGCATCTTTCGGCTTATCTATAGGCCGAAGATTCAGCTTCAAATCGTTCTCTAGTCGCAAACCAACGACCAAAGTCGAGAAGCCACGGAACGAATTTGGCCTAAATACTGTGTACGAACCGGACGAAACTTCGGCAGTCATCGCAGACCTTGTTTTTGTGCATGGTCTCGGCGGTGGTTCCAGCACAACATGGTGTCTCAAGCAAGACGCCGATTACTTTTGGCCAAAAGAGTGGTTACCTAAAGACCCAGACTTCAAAGGAGTCCGTATCCACAGCTTTGGATACAACGCGAATTGGGCCACCTGGCTGAAGAGTCCGGTCGACATCCATGCTTTCGGTCAGTCTTTAGTCGAAGACCTGAGGAGCGATCCAAAGATCAATAATCTGGATAGTCGCATTATCCTTGTAGGGCACAGCATGGGTGGTTTAGTGATCAAGAAAGCATGCGTCTTATCTAAGACTAATCCGGATTACAGCGACATCGCTAACCGATTACATTCGTTGTATTTCCTGGGTACTCCCCACCGAGGCTCGAATCTCGCTGGTGTTTTAAACAATTTCCTTCGCCTGTCTGGAAGTGGACGAAGAGCGTACGTATCCAGTTTGCAAGCTAAGTCAGAGAGCATACGTATTCTGAGCGACTCCTTCCGTATTCATTATGCGGGAATACATTTGCACACATTCTACGAGTCTCAGCCCACACCTCCTGTTGGAATGATCGTCGATCAAGAATCCGCTACTCTAGGTCTGCTAGCCGATAATAGCCATGGATCTAATACTGACCGTCATAGGTTACGCTGAAGAACGCATCCAGTTGTTAAATGCGAACCATCGCGATCTAGCCAAGTTCGAGACTACATTGGACTCAAATTACAGGTCTCTAAGAAACCGTCTGGCATCAACAATCGATCAGATAAGGCTCGAAATGCAGAAGCAAACAACACCATCGAATTTCTCAAGTATGGAGATTGGTATCAAAACTCCCGATGCATCGGTACTGCTATCTTTACCAGAGCTGTATCAAAGTAGGGCGAACGAGATGGAGGAGATCGCTAAGTACCTCTCCATCGATGCATCAGACGACAAAAGGCTTTCAACCCTCAATAACACAAGAATGACTGGATCAGGTTCCTGGCTCACTAACAGAACCAGTTTTCGGGAGTGGCGGTCGCCACCAGCACCTCGCTATTTCTGGCTGAAGGGGACACCGGCGTCGGGGAAGTCAATGCTCGCAAGTTATGTTATTGAGTTCTTACAAGACAGCCCCGTATGTCACTACTTCTTCAACAAAGGTGATAAGACCGACAACAACGTGAGCAGCTTTCTACGCTCCATGGCGCTACAGATGGCTCAGATCAACCCTGTCGTTCGTAGCGCGATTTTCCGGCTTTCACAGAAAGGTCCACCCATCGATGCTCGCAACCAGAGAACCATCTGGAACACTGTTTTCACGAGCTGTGTGTTTCACGTTACATTCCCTACCCCGTAAGTGTTTTGCAGCTCCTATGCAGGGCGGAACTCACACAACCGCTGCAGTCATTATTGGGTGGTTGATGCATTAGATGAGGCAGCCGACAGGGGCACATTAAATGAATGTTTCAGTCTACTGTCCAAGATCGACGAAAACATCCCACTGAAGATCTTCGTCACCAGTCGACCAGATCCCGCATTGGATGATTTGTTCGTGCAGCTTCCTCTGGTGCAAGAATACATATCGCCAGAGGATTTGTTGCCCGATATCTCCTCGTACGTCCAGAAATGGTCCGCCACCTTCCCCGTTAATACAACTCAAGAAAGAGAAAAATTGGTTGACAAGATTGTTCGCATGTCTGGCGGTAGCTTCTTGTGGACCGTGCTAGTGACTAAACAGCTTCGGGAAGTTTTCACTGTCGGAGAAGTTCACGAGGTTCTATGCGAGATTCCTCAAGAAATGGATGACCTATACACGCACAACATCCGGAAAATGGAGTCCCTGAGGTCAAAGAGCGCAGCAAAGCATACAATTACATGGGCAATCTGCGCTGTGCATCCCTTGACCGTCAACCAGATGAAGGATGCTATCAGGCTGACTCTGGGAAGTCCTATAGCACGCGATCTACGAACCAGTCTCCAATATCTTTGTGGATACTTCCTCGATATTGATGTGCAGTCGCGGGTACAGCTAGTTCACGAAACAGCCCGCACTTTCCTCACTCATCCGGATCTGAACTCAGACTTTCGAATTGACTATGCTGAAGGACACAGTCTTATTGCATCGGCTTGCCTCAATCATCTGATGAGCGATGAATTGAGTTATTCAAGGAGACGGCGTAGCTCCACTACGAGCGGGCACAGCAAGACTTCAATGACTGACTACGTATGTTTACGGTTCAGCGAACACATTCTTCGAGCATCCTCCCAGTCCAACGAACTGTTCAACACGTTAGACAAGTTCTTCAGAACAAACGTGCTTTCCTGGATCGAGCACGTGGCCCATCTCAAAGATTTGGACTGTCTTAATCGAACTTCAAGACACCTGTCGAACTACCTCAACCGCAGGATGGAGCATGTTCCGTTATTGCAAAGCGATCTACATGCCTGGGCCGTCGACTTACCTAGGTTGGTAACACAGTTCGGCGTCAATCTTCTGAGCGATCCCGCTGCCATCCACACACTCGTGCCGCCGTTTTGTCCTCGAGACTCTGCTGTATACCGGCACTTCGGATATGCTGAGGATGGCATCAAGCTAGTAGGCGCGTGGAACGCAGGTTGGGGGGATAGGATATGCTCCATCTCATATCATGACACCTACGCGACAGTGGCTGCTTCTCGAGACGAACGATTCGCTGTTGGGTTGGCTGACGGCTTGGTCAATGTCTATCGAACCTCCACGTGCGAACAACTCCTGAGTATGAGACATGAAGAATCAGTATCAGTTCTGGAGTTTGGTTCCACATCCAAAGTCATCGCCTCAGCTGGTTTGCGGTTTCTAAGACTATGGGATGCGGCGACTGGCGTTCAACTCTTCCACATCGCTACCGATTCGCAAACCCTAGCTTTGACTTTCGACGAGACAGAAACGTCGGTTACAATAGCGACCAGAGACAAGCATGTTCTGACTTACAGAATTTCCGATGGCTCACCGCTACACCAGGTCCCCTGGATTGACGCTTTTTCTGAAGACACAGACTCAGGCTTTGCACCATCTCCATCTGCGGCCAGGCTATCTACAGAACAACAAACACTTGCGATAGTCTATCGAAGCAAGCCGGTACAGCTGTGGTCTCTGGACAAGCAGCACTGTATCGGGGCTTGCTTGAGACCGGCAACGCACAAGAATGACAAGGGAGGCCACACCGTCAACTGTCTAGTCTTCAATACCAGCTCTGCAAACCCACGACTTCTGGTGTCATATTGGGACGATATCCTGGTCAAGTTCGATAGTAGGACTTGCAAGCCGCTCCTCACAACTGCGACATGCGTCACGAAGATGGCCATTTCTTGCAACGAGAAAACCTTTGCTGGAAGCGACGGCAATGGCGGGATCAAGATTTTCGATTTCGAGACGCTCCAACCTCTCCACAACATACATATACAAGGAGATCCGGTATCGTCGCTCGCCTTCACTAGCGACAGCCTGCGCATCGTGGATTCGCGGGGTACGCAAGCCAATGTCTGGGAGCCACTCGTCCTCTTCGGGCAAGACACTGAAGCTCTCTCCAGCGAGCCTAGCGAATCTGTGCACCAAATAGTAGACGACATTGTTGAATCTGTTGTCAACGAGTCTGCTATCATAACCACCCTGCACTGTTGCGATCAAAGTGGTATGGCTTTCTGCGGGCGCAACGACGGACGTGTCGATACCTGCAACCTCGACGACCCCGAGAACACTATGCGCAACCTATACAAGCATGGTGGGTCCTTCATTAGTATTACATGCATGGACTGGAGTCCTAGAGCGCGTGTGATAGCGAGTGCAGACTCTGCAGGAAAGTTTTGTATCATGAAAATCACGACTGGCACACGGAGAGAATGGAGCGCTGAGATGATGGTCCAGTCGAGGTTAGGCCAAGGCTGTATTATACGACAGATCCTCGTCCACCCTGAGGGTTCGTTCGTACTTGTTTCCTCATCAGAGGCGGACTCTATATGGTCATTATCAACCAAGGAGCAAGTAGCGTCACTTGACAGGCGAGAACGCATAGCTTGGAAATGGTTTGTTCGACCATCTGCTCCGTCGCAACTGCTTCTTTTTGAGGACAAGATCTTGCGGCTTTTCAGATGGGAGGACCTTCACCAGATCGCTGCCTCTGAGAACCCCGTGGTGCCGATCGAGATCGAGAGGCGCATGTCTGGGGAACAAGCCGACGCGGATGCCATTTCTGTCTCAAGCGAAGGCGATGACCTGGTCATTCTGCAGCGATCGCAAACCGTGCAGCACAGTGTACCGGGCCTGCGACCTCAGTCTAATGACGCTATGATGACCAAGATACGCGTCTTTGATCTGACTACTCTGGATCCCGAGTCTACTGATATCGGAGGCTCGTCGTCGCCTGATATGTCAATTGACAACGCGACACAGTCTCTTATCTTCTTGAACCCCAAGCCATCTTCAACCCTGGGTATTCCTCTATCGCCAACGGCTACGCCCAATGTCCCATTCTCTTATCCTTTCGGAGGCGGTCGTAGCAAGTCCTATACTCGCTGGTCTTCCATTAGAGATGTCGCTGATATACCCGATGTGGAGAGAATCATTGGTACGGTGAAAAAGTTCGATTGGTGGCATCTTATTTTCCTTTCCAAGATGGGGTGGGTCTGCTCGGTTCAGATCGGGGAAGGCGGTCGCAAAGTCCTCGACCAATTCCAGAAGCACTTCTTTGTTCCATCGGTTTGGCGCACAGGCAACTCGCCTCTTATCGCCAAGGTACGGCGGAGCCACGATATCGTGATTGTACACCAAGATGGCGTTATTGTGGTCAAGAATGGGTTAGACAACGGGGAGCATGTGTCCTTCTCTTTGAGTACGCTATGAACGGGTTCCGAATAGATTGCCAAGTAATGGCCAAGTGGTATTTTGAGAACCTGTAGCCCAATGTGAAGACCGGACAACGCTCTTTTGTTATTGAAAACATGTCAATCTTCATCCCATCCATCGCCTGATCTACTGGCATCCATGTAGTCGACTACGTTCTCCTCGCTTTCCGTGATATCCAACGGGTCGCCTCCCATCCTGAAAGAGTACACCTGCAGTGAGACATTGGCAGCTTTGCATCTGACACGGCGGTGCAACGCTTGGCCCTTGTGGTTGAGTGCAATCAGCAATACCCATCCCTCTTCGCAGGCCTCGCGGTCTGCAACCGCTACAAGCAACGTTTGATGGGTATTTTCGTACTCCTCACCTATCATCTGAGTCACATTGCTTCCTTCCATCGCGTCGGGGCATCGGACTAGAGCGCTTAAGATGAACGGTGGTATATCATCCATCAGCCCGACCTCGTCATCGGCGTCCCGTGCCGCCACTCCGTATGCGGCATTGTTGTCGTCGAATACAAAAAGCCCAAACAAGTTTTCGTCGAAGTTGTAGTTGTGTTCCGGACAGCACGTTACTTTCTGCCATAGTCGGGAATATGCCTCGTCGGCACTTGCGCGTGTAACAATCTCTTCACCCAGGTTCTGCCCATTAGATGCTTCATTGCCATACCATGTCCGGATCCATATAGCACCAGCAGCACGATCCCATTTGCCTGAATCCGTCACTTTGCGGCGCTTCTCGAAGACCGACAGGTTTGAAGGGACGTGTTGAGGAAGTGATACATCGTCGCATCGCTCGCGGTAAAGCTGATCAAGACGCGCGTTAGTAAATGAAATTCGGACGTGCCCACAAAGTGAGATAGGTAGATCCTACCGAACGGCCACGCTCACCGAGGTGGATCCAGGCTTTGATAATGTTTCGTTCTTGCTCGTCTTGGTGTAGAGATGATTCTGGATCCCATTTCTCCTTTTGCTCTTGATCAGTCGCATTCGATAGAGCTTGCTCATGCTCGCTGTGCTGACTAAAAGGCGTAGAGTGCAGTCCGACGTACTAGAAAGAAATGATCAGAAGGTTCCCAGCCGAACGAGGGTTCTAATGACCGCGAACTGGCCATTGAGTTCGATGCCGTCGAGTTGGAATAGAGCGCATATGGTTCAAAGGTTGTGATGTGAGAAGACTTGAACAGGCAGCAGTCTCGGCTGCTGTTCTTGGCGTGTGCAGTGCGTCTCTCATTGGCTCATATGATCCTTCGAAGATCGCGAGCCGATCTTAGCAGTATTGAAGTTACTTCGCTATCCTGTTCCTGGGGTCTGTGACAAGGTCTGTGACGAGATACTTGATCGGAGGGCGCGGCAACAAGTACAATGCAAGCTTTCGCTTTTTGGAAATCCCATCAGGCGACCGCTTCGCCGAAGAATTTGCGCGAGGCATTGCTTTCCTCCAGATTCGCTTGAGTGAAAGGGTGTTCTGAGAAGAGGTAGGGTCGACGATCGCGTCGAACGATGTTTTGTCTCTGATCATGGGTGGCATGGTGTGTTAGGATGCGATTGACGTGTACGTTGGTGGGGCGGAAATGTAGAGTTAAGAATGAAATATCTCTAGATTGCTAGAAATATATGATGTTGATGTTTGGGTCGTGGAGCGATGAACCACGGGTCAGTCTTGCAGAGGATGAGGGGCTGTAGCATCTGTGCCGAGGGAACCAATGAGTCGATTTGTATATGTACTCTCCGGATTGTTTACCGATATGTAAAAGCCAAATTGCAGGCTCAGATTAGCAGAACTTTGCCGTCGCCGGAAACAGCGGTTCTGCGGCAAGGAGAGCATCCCCTGTTTAACGAGCCTGCTTTAGCATGGGGAGCTATGGTAAAAAGGCAACGTCACATGTGCTTAGCGCGGCGATGTCGAGAGTACGCGGGATTACGTTCTGCGCAGCCATCGTGCGCAATAACAAGACTTCATGTTACCATGATGCGGTGTTGAGGAAGCAGATTCCAGATGTTGAGTTGATGTTTGTTAGATGCAGGTCCGGAGTGACGGCGATGATCTGGGCCCAGGCAATGCGGAAGCTACCCCGGGCGGGCCAACGACGTCAGGGCAGGAGCCACCCAGCCATCCTTGATGTCTCCACTCCAGCACGTCTACACGGACGGTACACCTCACCACGACACCTCACAGCCCTCACCGCATCGCGACACGTACTATCCCCCATATAAGCCATCGCGCATCCATGAGCGCTGTCTCCGCGCTGCATGTGGCAGACTCTGCGACAATACCATCGTGATTTTGCCATCCCGGGTTCCAAACGGTCACGCATGGCTTCTGGCAGCATTGGCGACGTGCCTGCCGCGACTTTTGCTGAGTACGTAGACGATCCTTTCTTCGACCACGGTGACGAGGCGGGTGCATCGCAATCGCAGACATCGCGGGAAAAGGAGGATGACTTCATGGAGAATGCGCCGCCTGCCGATGCACCGCAATTGGCGCTGGCGCAAAGACCCGAAGCGCCGTCGCGATGCATCGCGGTGCGCCCGGCTCTCACCCACCGTCTCTACTCTCATCGCCTCCATGTGCGGGCCAAAGCTAAGCTACAACGCGATAGACTTCTCTCCGGCCCTATGATCGACGTCTACGTAGGCGAGTCCAAGCGCCACTGGTCGCTGCATCGCAATCTGCTATGCCACCACTCCGAAACCCTCGAGAACGAGCTGCTAGGCGATGCCGACGGCCACACTAGGAAAGATCGCCTCGATCTTCCCGATTACAACCCTGCCGGCTTCGAGCTGCTGGTGAAGTGGCTATACCAGGGCAGCCTCGACGATGTCTCTGACATGGCCGACGCCAACCAGAAGTATGAGTATGCTGTGAGCTGTCACAGACTCTATCTGCTGTGCGATCGCTTTGACATGCTTCAACTGAAGAACGTCGCGATGGATCAGTACAGAAAAGGCCTAAATGAGGCCGAGCTAGTACCTGACGCTGACGAGATTGATGACATCTATCGCAAGAGTCCGACAGGGTCGCCCTTCCGCACGCTCATGACGCGCATCGCGGCCCGCCAGATCATGGATCCTGGTAGTGAGCGCGACGTCGAAACCTATCGCGAGTGCTTCGAAAACAATCCCGACTTCGCCATCGATCTGGTCAAAGCCATCAGGTCAGGCACTGGCGGCATGCTGTTCGACGATCCAACAGATGAGGGTCATGAGTGCGACTACCATGACCACGAAGCTGGCCCGAACTGCCACACAAAGGGCAAGGGCAAAGGGAAGCAAGGTGTGTGACTCCGACCTCTCCCAAGCCCACTCAGCACCCTATCAGCCATCTCACTGCTGTCAAAAACGCGTAATAACGTCCATTAACCAGCAAAGAAGAAAGCCGGCCTGTCATCCGCCAAATCAGTCCCCTACATAAGCTCCGACCAGCACAACCGCCCTCCCCGCCCTCCTCCCCCGAAGACGCCTCGCCCGCCTCATCCCCTGCAAGCTCGCCCACAAGAGGGAAGCGCCGGTCCTCTCCGCCGTCGCCTGACAAGTCCGGCGAGCTCGACGGTTGGCACATCGACGGAGATGGCAGTCGCCAGTCAAGCACCCAATCTCGACGCGATTCGCGAGAGGGAGAAGGACAGGGAAAAGCTGCGCAGAGTGACGCCGCCGGAGAGAAGACGCCTGGAGCGGGCTCAAAGCAGTGGAACGGAGATACAGAGGTCACGCCCAGTCCTAGAAGAGCGCCGCCGAAGCTCAGACGACGCGTCTCACCCACACCAGAATAGCCAGCTTGAAGATCAAGCATTGAGGGAGCTAGAGGGAGGACCGGTGCAGCCACCACAGCGATCACCGACGCGTCGAGGCATCTGGGAATGGGCGAAACTAGGGACGGGCAGGCTGAATGTCATCGGACGCATACCCCATCCCGAATGGAAGGGCCCGACTGTGTCGCACGAAGCTGTCGCGAATGGCAATTCGCGAATCACTACCATTCATGAAACCCATGACGATTTCAGCATCCCCTCCACAACGGCTACCGAGACGAACAATCTGCAAGAATACAACCAAGCAATGGCAGCTAAGCTCGAAGGCTTTGGCTTCCCACACGCTCACATTATCACGTCGCCACACTTCTCGCAGACAAAACGCTCTTCCGATGACCTTGTTGCTGCATCATCTACAGCGAGCACGCCAGCGAACCTGAATCTTGTTCTAGAGGGTGGCACAAATGGCAAGCGCGTTACACCGCAGGCCTCGAAAGACAGTCCGCCGTTGACGCCGGACACCCCGACACCGCAACAGCGCAGAAAAGACTCGACGATCGAGACGGAGAGCACACCGACGAAGGTCACCTCCGACAGTGCGAAGGCAGAGATCGCTGATCCACCTCCGAATGGCGTCAAGAAGACCTCTACTCCTACTCCTACTCCTGACCGCATCCCCAAGTATCGGATTGCGCTTTCTTCGAATTTCCTTTCGCCAGCTCGCAACAGTCCGAGTCCGGCATCTTAATTCTTTTATGATCAAAAGCGATACCCTGTACGTACATATAATTTAACGACTGGCGAGTCTTATAATGCCATAACGGTTCACGAAACGCGCTAGAACAATGACTGGCTATGGAGCGCAATGCCACAACAACACTGACATGCGTTAATAGCACTTGACTTGAGTTGATCACGCAGTTCGGAAGTAATGCGCCGTTTCTTTGGTTTTTGACATGCCCGGCCGTGGTAAACTGATGTTCCCATAGCCTCACAAGAGGTCTGAGGAGCAATAGGGAAGTAACGACGATGCGGCTCATGCAGGCGATGGGCTACACCGCTTGGGGCGCGTTCACCGAGCACTGCCCCGCGCCATTCTCGTAGAAGCTATGCGCGCTGTTATCGTCTTGGCACATGCAGCTTGGCCTCGCTCTGGCATGTTCGTTGCGACTGACCTTCAACCCGTCGGAAGCAGGGCATATTGGAAGTCCATTGACTCTGAACATCGCCAGATGCTCGCAAATCTCGGTGATGTGCTGATAACCATCCCAAACTATTGTTGTCGCCGTCGCGAAGTTGGACGATTACGTATACTTCGTACAACCAATTTAGAGCTATGCTCTCTCGGATACATCGCCTTGGCCTCGCTGCACAAGAAACACAAATCCAGACGCAGATCTATACTTACAAGCCATTGGGATCACAGCACAGCATACGGCTTTTGCAGATAACACGCGAGGAAGCTGTAAACGGCGCAGAACGGCGATGGCGGTATTCCCTGATCACTACCAACATCCAGGATGCTCCAAAGTATGAGACCTTGTCATATGTTTGGGGTACCCCAGGCCGTAATGGGCTGCTTGGTTTGGCGGACGGCACATCACTTCGACTTACCAAAGCCTTGGAAGAAGCTTTGCCGCACATCACTGAACATTGCTCTACGGGCTACCTCTGGATCGACCAAATATGCATTAATCAAGACGATCTTCTCGAGCGAGCGCAACAGGTCTCAATAATGGGCAGCATATACTCTCGGTGCGCACGCGTTCTGGTGTGGCTAGGACAGATTCATTCACTAAAAGCCGAATTATTAGGGCAATGCTTCACGCTGGACAATTTAACCTCGACTCTCTTACTCTGCGAAGATCTGGAATGCGCAGATGTCGATTTTCAACGGCAGACTCATGACCTTAAATTAAACATGGATTACTTCATGAGAACATTCGTCAGCTGCAAGCTCAGACAAAGAAACTTGCTAGCTCTGTGTCACGAAATCATCGGAACTTCATGGTTCTCTCGAGCTTGGGTCTTCCAGGAAGTAGTCCTACCACGAAGATCCGCTTTCATCTTGCAGGGCTCTTTGAGGAACCCCGAGCGGAGCGAAACAGTCTCGCTACCAACTCTTTACAAATTGTGTAAAACTGCATGGAGGTTCTGGAATCCTACGACAGTTAGAATGTCTTTACAGAAACGCGAGGATCTGAATACAACTTCCCGCTACGGTGTACTGAAAGAGATGTATCATCGCTGGGCAGAGAGACACACATCAGCAAACATATCCTCTATGCCATTAGTCCAGGTGCTCTCTTCATTAAGCGCTGGAGCTAGAACGTCCACAGCTCATGATCAAATATATGCGTTCTTCGGTTTGAACCAAGATGACCGAATCTGTCTAAACCCGTCGTATGAGGCTTCTTTGCAAGACGCCTTGGTCGCCACAGCACGGTCGATTATAGATGGAACCAAAAGCCTCGATATCTTCGAGACTTTACCGAGGAAGACGGCATCGACGACTACACCATCCTGGGTTCCAGACTTCACCTCACCGCCTCTAGTCATACCCTTTCTACCATCCTCTGTGTGTACGGGAAGTGCAAATACACGCGTTGAGGCTTATCCATGGAACGGAATATGTCACGGGTATAGTCTTGGGGTCCATGGCAAAATCGTAGCTGTCGTGGATGTATCTATCGATTACCAGATAGCGACTTCTAAGGAAGACACCAACCGCGCCTATATCCCCTTACTACTGAAAGTCATGCAAACATGGGCAGATTCTCGCCATTACGACCCAAAAGTACCTTTACCAGTACTCGAGTCGATATTGGCAGCACTTCTCGCGGAAGGTCATTGTGAGCCATCATCATACGTTCCAGAGGTTACTGCAAAATTCGCCAACCGTGTTAGAAACCAATACCGAGACTTTGCGATGAGACCACTCCAACAATACGCAGGAGACAACTATGATCGAACTCGGATCCATTATCGAGACACAGAAAAGCGTACACTGGCCGAATACATCGGCACTGTCATGAAAGGCAGACAATTGTGGATCACACAAGGTGGACGTCTTGCGACAGGAAGTCGGCTTCGAAGTGGGGATCTGTTGTGCGTTTTACATGGCTGTTCGCATCCAGTAGCGCTTCGGCGCGTACCCAAGAAGAACACATATACAGTGGTCAGCACTTGCTATCTTGAAGACTGGATGGATCCATGGGGTAGAGGGAAAGTGGACTGGAAAGAAGACGAAGCGGAAGAGTTCGCACTGATCTGATGCTCGGGGTTCGAGAGTGCAAGGGACGTTTCGTCGTAGATGCTAAAGGTGGTACCTAGTTAGTAGCGGGGAGATTGGCCACTAGCAAAGAGTTCCCATGAAGCATCGGCAATAGATGTCCTTTCCGCGCCACTTCTTCCACATACGACCACAGGTAAAGGAGTATACTGGATCCCGTTTGCTCTCCACACGTCAAACCTTTAACCGGCGAACTAGTAGCTTAGTGGGTGACCACAAGCGAATAATCGCTGTTGTATGTTTTTGCATATCCTCTTTTTGCGATTGCTTGCCATTTTTTTGTAGAATTGAGCATACCTAGGTATGATCCTGCGAGGTGTGCAAGATGAAGGAGCGTCATTACAGGAAGGAGGCTGGCAAATCGGGCCTTCTTGCATCACTAGCTTCTAGCGCGTCAAAATGCACGTGCTGTCGCGTCATTGCAAACTCCAGTGCTTCTCTCACCAATTCGCGTGCTTACGCAGATGAATAGGTCCAGGTTTAATTGACACATGCGGCATGTACATTGTTGAGGTTTACCCCGCACTACGACCAGGCTGTGTTTGCGGCACGGCTGCACGCGAGGCTGCAAAACGTCATGCGTGGGGTGGCATCACAAGGTGCCTCCCCACCAACACCACCGGCGCGCCTGACTGGCCAAGCTCGGTTTATCCTTCCTTCCACTCAAAGTCACAGAACAATGTCGAATGAGAAGACCCCAGAAAGCAGCCATACACCTGATCAGCCAGCTGAAGCCTTCACCGTGTTTAATCGCCGCCAACATATCTACTTCACTTATCTCCTCGGTTATCTAACACTCGCTTCGTCTCTCACAGCTACGATTTACCTTCCGCTGATCGAAAATCTGAGCAAACAATATAATGCGTCAATATTCGCTATCGATCTTACCATTACGCTATATCTGGTGCTACAAGCATTATCGCCAGCCTTCTTTGGCCCAATGTCCGATAGTCTCGGCCGCCGTCCAGTATTCTTGATTACATTCTCTATATACTGTGCAGCAAGCCTTGGCCTAGCACTCAACAAACACAGCTATGCTGCATTGATAGTCCTGCGATCGCTCCAAAGTATAGGCGGTTCTGCTGTCATGTCACTTGCGTACGCGGTCGTGGCAGACATCTCCATACCAGCGGAGCGAGGCAAGATTCTCGGACCCATGCTTGCTTCTACCAACTTCGGGCCGTGTTTTGGTCCAGTGTTGGGTGGCGGTATTGTCTTAGCCACAGGACAAACACAGTGGTGCTTTTGGACACTCGTCATCTTTGGGATAACTTCGCTCATGATGATCGGATGGACCATGCCAGAGACTGGGAGGAATATCGTGGGCAACGGAGCAGTCAAACCCCAAAGTATATGGAAGACGTGGTGGTCCTGCTTGAAACATTCTCGGTCGCAAGATTTGGAAGCCTCAAGCACCACGATAGTCATCAGCGATGTCAACGTCGGGAAGAACGGGATAGGCGTATGGAGTTTTCCGAACCCGTTCTCTTCCGTGCGCCTTATCTTCTACGCCGATACGGTGCTCACACTCTGGTCAGCCGCATCTCCTTATGCTGTATGGTACTGCATTCAGGCTTCAATACCCTTGATATACGGCCAGCAGTATGGGTATAACTCGCTGGCAGTCAGTCTTTGCTTCTTGTCTGGCGGCGCCGGAGTTATACTTGGTGGCTTCATTGCAGGGCGCTTACTGGACTTCAACTACAAAAGAACCGCACAACAATACGACCTGCCCATCAATCGGGTGTCTGGTGATGATCTAGTCAACTTCCCTATTGAGGCTGCGCGATCCCGTGGTTCATACATACTACACGCGCTTTCGATAGGCGCACTTGTGGGCTATGGCTGGGCTGTCGAGCGTCGGGTCCACGCAAGTATACCGCTGATACTCCAATTCTTCATTGGTGCTAGATGCACTATCGTGTTACAGCTGTTTAGTACTTTGATGGTGGACATATTTCCGTCAAAGGCCGGCACTGCCGCGGCTTCAAACAACATCACGAGATGTGCACTTTCTGCTATCGCTGTGGCGATTTTGGAACCACTCAAGGACGCTATTGGAAACGGATGGATGTTCACATCGATCGGACTTGTTGATGGGGTGTTTAGTATCATTGCTGTTTGGCTGTTGCAAAGATGGGGGTGGAAATGGAGACTGGCGAGATTGGATCGTTCTTAAATTGTAGTTATTAGACGGTGGACCTTCGAGGAAGATCATGTGGCTCTGATCCAGTCGCAGCCGATTGCGTCATGTAAGGGACAATGGCCAGGGAACGAACGTTAAATGCATGTGTAGATTGATGGGCTCCATGTGTATGTGGCACAAGCTCCTCAGTATGATAACGAACACTAACATAGCTCTCTAGCTAACATGCGCGCACCAATATATGACCACGTGTAATGAAATCAGCATTTAATGTCCCCGTTTCAAAAGATGCAGGAAATTTCACGAGCATTAGTCTCAATGACTCATTGTGCGATGCGCGAGACCTCCAAACATAGCGCTTCTAGGACTCATGCTTCTCTTCCTGGGTGTGAGTATACCTTGGTCCGTCATGTCTAGCCCGCGTTTGATGACCAGCAGCTCCCCTCTCTTAACGAATATGATCTCGCCACTATGACCGATATCCAATACCAAACCTTGTACAAGACTCACCCAATCGTTCGGGATGAAGAAATGACGAACAGGCATCGCATCGTCTGTATTGATCTCCAAAGAGCGCACCCAGTTGTTCGTATCCAGGAAGACCAATCTCTCGCTGAAGATACCGATAATGGTGTGCACATTCGACGACAAAGTTCCGAGATCTTGAACGCTTGCAACTTGTTCCATGTCAAGGTTGAAGTCATTGTAGTCGTACATTCGTATAACGTTTTGCGATGATCGCACTCGCGATGGGTCCACTGAGATGCCAATGAAGTAACGAGGGTGTCGAAGAGAACGTACTCGACCGATCGCTGTGAAGGGCTCGGTTAAATTGCTCAATGATATGGTGTGCGATAGTTCGAGCGTGGTCCAGGAACACATGCGAGCAGATGTTGCGGACACAAAGAGCAAGATGTCTGCGTTGCTCCCATGATGTACCCAGTGACCTTTACGCTCAGGCTGCATCGTGACCAGAGAAGCTTGTTTGGCGTCCTGTGACGTTGACCAGAGATGTGTCTCTTCGTCCGTTGCGACTAGACATCTAGAGTGCTTGGCATTCAATAAGAGTCCAGTGATACCACGTCCGATGACTGTGTCGATATACGGGGCAGCCGCAGTCCATGATTTCCGCCCGTCTCGCTTCATTTGCCTAATCGTTACTCGGCTGGCAGCATCGCTGCAAGCCAGGATCATGCTCTCAGCGTTGAAATGGAGCAGTATAATGGGTATGCCGACGGTCTGTTTGAACAATTCAGTGCCTTTAGGCTCTCGGGAGATATCGTAAATATGCACCGATCCGTCTTCTTTGCCGCAGAAGACGCTAGAAGCTAAGGATATACACTCTAGAGCCGTTATGTGAGTTGACATGGAACCGCGAAAGCTGGCCTCATGCGGAGCTGTGGATACCGAGATTGTGTCACTATTCTCGTCATCTACGTCCTGTCGCAGCAGCACAGCTGGATCCCATAGCCGACACTGGTTCGCCCGTATATCAATGATGCGGTGGTTGTCAGAAGTGAATGCAAGCGTCCTAGGTGCTATAGCATCGCCTTCAAACTCCAGCCGATACAAAAGCTTGACCGTCTCCATGTCGAACAATTGAATCGTTCCAAGCGAATCTGCGCATGCGAGCGTACGCCCATCGGGTGAGCATGACAGCTTTTGCGCGTTAACACCTATGATGAGGTCACGTACTGTTCCGTGGAGTGTGTCGTATATGACGAGATCGCCGTCTGAGTATGCTGCGGCAAGCAAAGTCTCGTCTCTAAGCGTGCTGAACTGAAGGCTCCATACAGTTGTGCTCCCATCCGAGACCTTCAGCGGCCCATGAAGAGTGGAACCCGTTTCTTTATCGTAGAGATCATACACACGATCTCGTTCGTAGTCCCATAAGACTATGTCCTCTCCACGATAAACAATGGCCAAGATGCTTTGCTGGGGACAGAACACTGCCAGTGTTGGTTGTTTTGACTGCACGCTCGACTGCTCGTCGAAGTCGATCGTCCAGTCAGCCACATCTTCTGGTACCCCACCATTTGCAAGGTTCCAGCACATGAGTTCATTCTTTTTGGTAGCTGCGAACAAAAGCATGTCTTCCTCGCTGAACGCGAGTGAAAGACACATGACTGGAATGGCGAAGCGGAATACCTCAGTCCAGTTCATCACGTTCCATACTTTGATAGACTTTGCCCCAGCGGAAGCACAGGTCAGGCCAGTTTCGCTGAACGCCAGCGCCCAGACCGGCTCCCCGTGTTGTAATACGGTCTCTTCTTGGCAGGTGACATCATCGTAGATCATGACCTTTCCGGTAGATAACCCAAGTCCGAAGAACCTTTGTGACGTAGCTACAGTGAGTGGTCGAGCCGGCTTGGTGTAGTTGAGAATTGCAAGACAATCTTGCCAGCCTTCGGTACTTTGTCCAAGAACGCTCAGTCCCCGGTGAGGTGACGAGAATTGTCGGCTGGGCGCTGAATCTACTGGACAAAATGGCGGTATCAGGCGGTGTATCGCTGAGGGTGAAAACGACAGCTCTTTTCCGAATTTGGTGACAAGATGGGTAAGATCGTTGCCCCAACTGTGTAAGACTGTTAACTCTTTTCTCAACCCGACAAGTGGGCTGTGTTGGGCCAATCTTCCCAGGAGGTTGTTCAAAGTCTTCCCCGCTTGGTAAACCTTTTCAAGATCACCTTTCCGTGCGAGATGTTCGATCCATTTGAGCACACAGTCTGATCCCATAAATTTGCCCAATAGTGTAAGGACCTCGTTGTCGCTGGAGGTTACATGGAATATGTGTTGGAAGACATACTCAGATGCATAGTCCATAAGGCGAGGCTTCTCCGGGATTTGGTCCACACTCAGCTTTCGAGGTTTAGTCGGCCGAGCTTGACTACGGGTCAGATAACGAAGGCAGACCAAAGCAAGACGTTTGTGTGCAGTAGCACGCTCGATCTGAAACTCTGATCTCATGCCTTGCCGAGTAAGGAAATCCCTGACAGTAAGATGAAGTAACTGGACCCTTTTGCTGCGATCTACATACACAAGATTTCCACAGCAAGTACTGATTGATCGTTCGATGTCGTCGATTTTGTCGTGGATGTCGAGCTCAATAGCGCAATGCATCTCGTCGGTTGAGAGAAATCGAAAAGCAAACGTTGTCCACACAAGGATAGCCTTTGCAAGCTCTTTTCCGAACTTCGCATTTGCCATGTCGTTAAGTATCCGGCCATACATCTCGTCCATGTCGGCAGTGTTGCTGGAAAGTACTTTGCGGATCTCAGTAGACGTATGTACCTGGCGCAGTTCCTTGAGTACAAGGGTAACCCACAGGAAGCATCCATTGGCATTCTTGAGAATCTCTTGGGACATCGCTTCACGTTCTGCTGCCCCGGTGGCTGGCAGTTGATCCTGACATGAACGTAGGTACTGAGCGATGTCTTTGTTAGTATCTTCCTCTTGGATCGTTTCCGACATGACCTCGATTCTTTGAACAGCTCCATCGGCATATCTGTCGAAAGAGTCCCTTGACGTTATGAGGAGAGAGATCGGCCAAACTTCTTGCATCTTTGATAAAAGCGTTACAAGTTCAGATCCTCCTTTGCATTCATCGACCGCGTCAATCACCCAGTACTGAGGCGTGTCCAAACGGCATTTCAACATGCCACTCAGGAATAAACGCCGCCATACGGCCACATGATCAGTCTTGTTTATCCCAGTAATCTGCGAGCTTGTCGAGATATCAAGAACGATACTCAGAAGGTGGGGGTGTTGACTGGCCATCTGCCACGCCATCGATCGGAGAAACGTATTGATCGTGGCTTTCGTTTTGTCACCCTGCACGAAGAAGTAGAAGGAACAGTCGAGACCTAATCCCCTCAAGTGATGGATGATGTGCGCCGAGAGAACGCTCTTCCCAGCGCCAGGTCGACCACGTACCCACAGAGTTTTCGAATCTGCTGCTTTTCGCCACTCCTGAAATGCGTTTCTGTCAAGAAACCAATCGCACGTTTCGGACAGTCGAGTTGACTGGCTCTCTAGCTCGTCATCGGGGGTCTCGGTAACACTGAGGAAAGTACTGAGTGCTTCAATTTGCTCGAAACCTGCTGTCTGATTCGACAGTGCCTTGGGTGTTCTTTTACTCGCGATCGTAGTCGCTAAAGCATTTCTGACAGCCAGGTAGGACGGATCGGTTTGCAGTGAGAACTTCGCCACATTGCGATGGTTCGCATTCAGATATGTTCTCCGCTCATTGGGGTAATTCATGACTGCGCAGTGCTTTTCCACTATCAGTTGTGTTCCGATGCCAATTTTCATGGGCTCAGTCTCATAGAAAGAAAATAAGCGTAGAGAGCTACTGTAGAGAGGGAATTCTTCGTTGATCGACTGGAGCACTGGCGACTCCGGGGATAGATCCTGAACAAATGGCCTGGAACCAGGGGCCAGCGCGAGTATCCTACCAAGGGTATCCGCTATGCCGGCGCCTTGATGCGGTGTTGCCAAGAAGAATATAGCGAAGATATTGCGTATTAGGCCCTCGAACTCCTTGGTTTGATGGCCAAGTACAAAGGCTTTTTTGATGACTAGACCGCCCATGCTATGACCAATGAGTATCATCGGTACCTGACGTGATCAGCATACTTCATGTTAGGGTGAGCAGGACGTACATGACCGCCAGACGGTATCCGCGGAGAGTCGTGTATTGAGGCTAGCAAAGACCGGGCAAAATCTGGAACGTGCAGAACTGACTCTTTGCTTAGGCCAGAAGCATAGCCAAAAGTATGAATCCTGACATCTTTGAACGCTTCGTCGTTTGGGAGCCAAGCAGAGGGCCAAAAGAGTGACGGGTTTCCATTCTTCGTCCAAGTACTTTCGGAGCCGCCATTCAGCCCATGCACGAAAATGATATCTGCGACAGCATCTTCTTCTGGATCGTGTAATGTGGTCAGACCGATGGCGCCCTTGGGGAAGTCTACACTGTCATCGGTGCGTCCTGTGTCCCTTCTTGTAAAGCTCCGCGAGAAGAACGATCCGTTCGATGCGCCCGAGGCTATGGATCCACGTTTGTGTGAAGACTGCATCGTTTCGCGTTGCGATTACCCCGCCAACCGTGGCTCGGAGATTTTGATGACGAGATCTTTCTTCCGAGGGATATAAAGCAACATACCCATGCGATGAGTGGGCCTTGGATGATGGTGCGATGGGTACAAGGGACTTCAGTCATGAGGACACAAAGGCTCTCAGTCGATGCGCAGCCTCTCGCGGAGCCCCGGCCAAATCTCCACGTCAGCGGCAATGTACTATCCCGATCCATGAACGTAGGAGTCGGGACGGGATGCTCGGCTAATGAGGGGAAGGTTGCTCGTAGAGGGCGCTCTGACCTGCAGCCAATGACGTGAAGCGATAAGCGGATCGCCTTGTACCACACGGTACCTCCGGTTACTAAGTTTCCAATACCGTGCTCTGTCGTTGTTTCCAACTAGACCACTACTATATGGATAGAGCCATGTAATCCGGGCGTAAAAATCATCGCTTCCTGGAATGCTTTCCTGTTGCTGCGTTACGAAGAGCGTCCATCAGGCTGAGAGACTGCATGTACGTGGGGGCCGTGCATACGGCGCGTAAGCTGTGCCGCATAGCAATGATTTATTGGATTGCGATTGGGCTCCGGTACCATCATGTGTTTTACCTATAACTAGGCGATGCATGGCGGAATGCCGTCTGCCTGATTCCCATTTTCTTTCTCTTCCGTGCAGCCGAGCCAGATCTCGAGATGACCGACTCTTCGATTTGGAACGAGGAAGTTGCCGTACCAAAAGCGGTGATCTCTTATGTCGATCCCAACGTAGAAGAGAGTGAGTATATCGCGTGCTTAGCAACCTTTGTTGGTGGTCGCCATTTACTGATCATGGCTCCAGAGCTTCCAAAAGGGTTGACTATCGAGGGCATCTCGTCTCACGGAGCATCCTACTGGACTCGTACAGCGCATATCCGTGCTCTCGACCAGAATGGAGAGGCCGTGTCGTATTTCCTCAAGGTAAACACCTGAAAGTCCAGAGCAAGTGCAGTTCTGATCAGAAGTCGATAGGTGTCCCAGGGCGATGCTGGCAAAGGTATGATGTTTGGAGAATTCCATTCCATGTCTGCTATCCATGACGCTTTGCCTGAAATTGCGCCAAAACCGATTGCATGGGGCGAGTATGCGAACGAAGCCGACACGTACTTTTTCCTGTGTGATTTCCATGACATGACCGACGAAGTCCCCGATGTGTCCGATTTCCCTGAGATGGTCGCCAAACTGCACAAGAAAGGAGTATCGCCGTCCGGAAAATTCGGGTTCCCAGTCCCAACGTTTCAGGGAAGGCTCCCACAGGATACCACGGAATGCGACACTTGGGAGGAAAGCTTTTCGCGCAGCATTCGCCGATTCTTCGAGCTTGAAGCGAACTCGCAAGGGTATGAGCAGGAGATGACGGAATTGCGTGAAGCTATCATGGATAAAGTAATCCCAAAGCTCTTGCGCCCGCTTGAGTCCGAAGGCAGAAGCATCGTTCCTTGCTTGGTGCATGGTGACCTTTGGGATGGCAATACGTCCGTTGATGCCGCCACAGATCGGCCCGTAATTTTCGACGCATGCTCTTCATATGCCCATCATGAATGTAAGCTCTTCTATAGTGTCTTATCCAACCCAGCCTTTGCTGATCGAGACTGCGACACCAGATGAGTTGGCACCATGGCGACCTACCCGCCACAAAATCGGAAAACCTTATGTGACCGAGTATCTGAAGCACTACCCCATGTCAGAGCCGGCCAAAGACTTTGATGATCGGAATGCGCTTTACTGCATGTATGTATCCAGGCATGTTAAACGCGTCTCGAAACCTGGCTAAGCTTCTCACAGAAGGTTCAATCTTTGCTCGTCGGCGCTCTATCCGGGCAACCTTCGCTTCCGTAATATGTAAGGCAAATGCATGAAATGCTAGCAAGATCCGTTCGCTAATATCAACAGCGTCAAGGAGGAGATGAGGGCTCTTGTGGACAAGGTCGTTGGATAGATGGGAGCTAATGATGCAGAGGATGATTCGTGCGGCTCGACTGACCCAAGGGGCTCCTGCGTGGCGGGTGGTCAGTGCATAAAGGGCCGAATCTCGCGTGGGCGACGTGATGAGAACACCAGCTTCATAGCTTCCACAGTAACAGCCACGTCAAGCCATGTCACAATGCGATTCGTCATCGCGTCTCTCGTATATTCGAAAAACGATCCTCTCATGAGACTTTGCATTCTATTCGACATATCTATGTAACGTGCAATCCGATCACACAGCGCAACGACTGGCAACACCCCCAGGGCCGTTCGGAAGGGACTTCTCGAGGTCTCACGGCAGAGCTGCGAACGTCAGCAGACATCGGCGGACGATGATGCAACGACCTTGATGCAATAATACGGCGGAGCGTCTCTGGTTGATTTCGATGCAGCATGCAGCCTATGATGCCCACCCGCGCATCGAAGCTGTTGGCGATGCTGCCTGGACACCGCGCCGCATAGGCACTGCGGCCATCAAGCTTGAGAAAGGACGGCACAGATCTCTCAATGCTGCTAAAAGAGGACAGTGAGCTCACTCAGCTCACAATGGTGCCCGTGTTTTCTTTGCGCTACCTGTTTAGACTTCTATCGTTATTCACAGTCATGACCCTATCCTTCTATCTGTTCCTGGTATGCGCTTTGACCTGCTGGTCACAGTACGCAGCAGCTTACCACGCAACATCAACAGACACTCTTACCGTCGGTTTTGCACTTACGGTCGACCATGCAACTGCTACAATTCGCCACAACAGCACGTTCTTCGAGGACCTGGCCAAAGTCGAAGCTTCGGAGGAATACATCAAGTTGATGCAAAGGTTCTCGTTGTGGTCCTCCCAGCATCCTAGGTGTGTTCTCTTGTTGGATCATATGGTCAAGATAAAAAGCTGATCCTCACCCAAGCCCACCATATGCATCGCTCGGTGACTTATGGAACGACATTCCTCGTCAAAGAGAACGAGAAGCACGCAAGCAGAAAGGACTTCCTGCTTCTAATGACGTAGCTGTAATTGCGACACTGCTTAAAGCCATCAAAGACGCTGCTGAAGCATCTGTGGGCGCTTCTGTTTCCGCTCTAGTGAGCTTCCCTGCTCTGCCTGGCCTATACCAGGAGGATATAGTCGATGCCGCCTATTACATCGGTCTTGAGAAACTAGCAAAAGGCCTCGCGCGCCATCCTCACGAACTCATCGCTGCATACGCGGGTCATGGATACGACCTGTGTAAGAGCTACAATCCCGTAAAACGATGCGTGCCGGACGATGGAGGCAGTTTCGCAACACGTACTGTGCTGCTGGCTGAATACACGCAAACCGCACTGCTGTTGCACTTGGAGGGTCTGAATGGAGCAGTCGAACTGTCATGGCCGAACATGTACCTTGAACTGCAATTCGACCTAGGTAGCTCTCGGATGCCGGACGAGCAGGACGTTCGCAATAGCGTACTGAATTTTCTGTACCATCACTACAACGAGCGATTAGGGAGAGGACCACCGAACATGACCGTCATCTTGGTGGGCGATCCCGAGAGCGTCGGCGACGGTAAGGTGCAACGAGCAACGAAGATTGTGCTTGAAGCACTTGGGGCGCATGCCGAAGTTCTGGCTGAGTATTCAGCCCATGTAGCAGCAAGGGGAGCAGCGGAGATGGCGTGGCGAGCGCTGGATCATGAAGAAAGAATGGAATTGTGACGTTCATGTACTGCGACGACCCACCATGAACGAGCCATTCCCGATTTCGAAGTCATAACAGCATCAATCTATTTGAGCCATCTCAAACAAAAACCCATTGCAAACTAAAGATATCGTGATGTTTCTACGAAGTACACATAGAAAGATCGAGTTGTCGAGCGAATTCCAGAGTTGAGTATTGACCGCAAATCTAGTACTGAAGCGCTACACAGTCAACACCAGATCGCGCCAACACACTACACATGTTGCGCAGCTCCGATGGAAAAGAGGCACAGAAACACTGCGCAGCTCGAAGCAAGCCAACCCCGCTCTTGCACTGAAACATCAGGGGCGAAGCACGCTCACCGATGGTACTGTGCCACATGGGCGCATCATCGTTGCCTAAAGACCTTCTCATATGCTGTGACACCGCTCCAACTCACTGAAGCGTAGCGATCACTATCATGCCGAAGATGGTTTCCCTCATCCTCGCACTGGCTCTGTGGCCCTCGCTAGTCGCATGCACTCAGACCATCCTATTCCTGGATGAGACAGCATCCAACCGGCCGACGGTCGGCTTCGCCTTAACTGTAGATCATATCGTCGCATCTGTTCGGTGGAACAATGTCTCAACAGAAGACTTGGTAGAACTGAAAGCGTCCGAAGAATATATCGAACTTATGCGGCATTTCTCACACCCATCGTCTCAACACCCAAGGTACGGCCCCCATCGCAAGTAACTCAGTAGCAATCTGAGCGACTACTAAGACCGGTAACAGCCCTCCATACCACAGTCTCAAGGACATATTTGATGACTGGCCCCGCCAAGCAAAACGATCCATGCGAAAGAAGCTCGGCCTTCCAGCATCGAGCGAAGTGGGCATCATAGCCAAGGCCCTGAAGCCCGTCATCGAAGTAGCCGGAACGTATGCTGGCTCCCCACTGTCAGCCTTGATCAGCTTTCCGGCATTACCAGGTCTTTATCAAGAAGACATCGCCGACGCGGCGAGCTATCTCGGCCTCCACGAGTTAGGTCGGTTGCTAGAGGCATCTCATCCGCACGAGGACGTCGCCGCATACGCAGGAAACGGTCTAGGTCTCTGTGAAGACTACCACAACGAAGAAAAATGCCGTGAAGAGGGGAGGAACCTCACATCTCGCCACACGCTACTGGTCGAACACACTGAGTCCGCGCTCCTTCTACACCACGACATCCTTCGGGAATCGATCGAGACATCGTGGCTGGATCTGGATCTTGCAACCTCATTCGACTTAGGTAGTGGTGGTGAGCCTGACGAACTGGACATACAAGATTTTGTCCTAAGTTTCTTGTATCACCAGTATTACTACCCGACGCCTCATCCTCCCGACTCAATTACTGTGATGATGACTGGTAGTTTCGAAAGTCTCAACGACGGGAAAGCTTGGAGGGTGACAAAGCGCGTTATCGAGGCGCTCGGCGCGAAAGCCGAGATGTTAGAAGAGAACCCTAACTTCATAGCTGCGAGAGGTGCAGCGGAGCTGGCATGGCGAGCGTTGAAATTGAATGAAGGGGGACGATCGTGAGGTTTGGCATGTCTGATCGGGTCACTCCAGGCTTTTTGTTTTGGAGATGCTTTCTCAAGTTGTATTCTACGTAATCTCTGGAATCTGAAATGGCGAAAGATCAAGATCTGTCGGTTCACCCAAGATCAATTGACTCATCAACTTCCCTGTGCCCGGTCCAAGTGTCAGTCCCCAAGACCCATGCCCCCAGCACAAAAACACATTGCCACCCCTTCCATCTGCATGAAGACCGCTGTGATGCGAGAGTTTGTCAGACTCGACCAAAGCCATCATCGGGCGCCCTGAAAGCGTAACGGGCCGAAATGCCCGCCCAAGCGCAACGACCTCCAACTCCTCGAGCGCGTCCGAATCATCTGCGTTGTGGACGCGAAGAAAACGGTATGCGCGACCTGTAAGTTCCGCAATCCTTGCAGCATCTGGTAGACCTCTCGACCCCAATGAAGGTAGCATGCCCGTGTGATCTTTTGCTCCGCAAACCCAGATCGTGCCGTCGTTGCGACCTGCGAACTCCAACTTCTCTCCCACGATGTCATTTAGGCCGACAAAAGCCACCGAGTTCTTCGCGACAGGATTCTGGTTTCGGAAGACGATCCAGTCGCCTGCCTCTGTGGCTGAGTCGATGTGGATTGGGGAGGAAGGGAATAGCGTTTTGTAGATCATCGGAGTCCATGGGCCCCCGGCTAGAACGAAGTTGTCGCATGGGACTCTGACGGAGGATGAGTCTTCTCGAACAACGATTACTGCAGTGGCTCGGTTTCCTTGGTCCAACTCGACGGCAGTGACCTTTGTAGAGGTCTGAATGCGAACATCCATGTCGATACATGCTCTTTCAAGCCATTTGCCGAGGCCGACTGGGTTACTGCAACGAATTTGATCAGCATCAGAAGGTGATGCATGTACAACATGCTTACACCATTGCATTCTCTGTCCCCAAGAATTCGGTGTCGACCCCCCACGCATCGCTCGTTCGAAGCCAATCCGGCAAACGCTCTTGATCATCCCCATCACCCTTGGTCAAACCGAAAATGGAATCGAAGCGGAGTCCAGCAGTATCACACAGGTCGTTTCTCTCTGCCAAATCACGCCAGGCTGCGAAGCTGTACTTCCCAAATTCGTCCATGATCTCGTCGTTGAATTTGTGATGAATGCATCCTGTGCAGGTCCCGGATGTCTCTCCGAATGCGCTCGCTGATGCTTCTATGACGATGATGGTGTTGCTGCTCGAGAGACCGGTTCGACGATTTGCGTGTGCGAGGTGATAGGCAGTCCACAGACCAATAGATCCCGCGCCTACAATGACGGTGGTCTTGTTCTCCGCGGACATATTGTCAGCCTCGCTGGAGGTGAACAAGGGTATTGAGACGATGCTCGATCTTTCAGGAATGTGTCCGCCGGTGGGGTCAAGGGCGGGGTCGATGAGCTCTGCTGGCCCCTGGCTCTTGTAATCAGTGCACGTGGGCTGGCAATGTGTAGCTTGGAGAACTAAGCGATGGGAAAGCTGAAAGGGCGACAAAGGTCGTTATTCAGATCGAGCATTAGGAATGAATGGGAAGATGGAGTCTTGAACACGCAGTGTGCACGGGTAAATTGGTCGTTTGCTCGATAGCTCCAAAGGGGATACCCTCAGCATATCCGCGTCGCCGGATCATGATTGTAATCAAACGCCTTCAGCAGCGCCACCAAATGCAGCGCCGCGCCCCCCACAGCACAAAGATGAAAGATCTGATGCGAGCAACCCCAGATATCGAAAAGTCCCGGGCGAAATCTCTCCGGGAAGCGGATCTGTGAAGAGCGTTAGCAACAAGTATCCCGAGTATGTGTCTTCACCATAGACTTACCGCATAGATAAAAGCCCCCGTAATATAAAACAGCCCCTCAAAAATCATCAACCGCCACCCCATCTGCCTATCCGCCTGCTCTTTCCCAAACGCCTGAGCCGCATGCGTCATCGGCACCGCACCCGACCAGCCAATCGCACAAAACAGCGTCGCCCTCGCCCATCTCCATTTCGGCGTCCGGAACCGAGGAATCGAACAAAGCGTTGCTGCACCCGTGACAATCGAAGTAATTCCAGCTGAATACAACACCCAGTATTGTTTCTGGCAGTAAAACCCATAGTACGTGCCCGAATACACCGTGCCTACAATCAACACGAAGATGCCGTAAAGGTCCAATTGCAACCATGTATGGTATACTTTGCTCGAGTGATTCCCAAACATGTGAAATGTAGCACTAACGCCGAAACACACGACCGCACTTCCCACGAAAACCCCAAAAGCCAGTAAATCGTTGATATCAGCCGTTTCGTAACGGCTGCTAATATTGCTGTAGGCGTAGATGGCGTAAAAAAGGATAACGACGGCGCCGATGAGATGCGTGTAAATATTCCCAGTCTGGTTGTGCAGATACGACAAGCTCTTCAGACATTCGCGGTAGGAATTGGTGGTGCAACGATAATGGTTCTTGAGGTACTCGTTGTCGCGTTGCCAAGGGTGGACTTCTTGGAAGGTGTAGAGTGTGCGGCTTGGCGGGGGCGCGGAGGCGGAGCGTTTGGTCGGGGTGTTTGTTGTGAGGGGGGTTAGGTAGGTTGTTGACATTTTGGCGGCGGAGTGGAGAGACGAGGACGTTGATTGGGAGTTTGCTTCCTGGAGTCCACGGAGTTGATTCAAGGAGATAAAGAGAAAGGAGACAAGAAAGGCGTAAACGAGGAACCGTCGACGAGGGCGATGCGCATCCTTGTACTCGTATTTCCACCTCTTGCGTCTGCTCGCAATTAAAGCAAAGACCTCAGTCACCACCTGTCGTTCGGTCAAATCAAAATAATCCACAAAGTCGCTCTATCGTGTGAAGTCCCCAAACAAGAAACAGCGAGCTCCCACGGTACTTAAAGGGACACCTGTGGCTCGGGCCCATCCAGACCCCCCTTGACAGGTACATAAGCCTTGTGGCAGTGCAACCGCACCGGGCGGAACGGCATAATGAACCACCAAGCGTCCCCTCAAAGGAGCAGGAGAGAACCTGGAACCGGGAAAGCGGGTACCTACGTAGCAGATAACACATGTGTGTGGGCTAGATCAAAAGGGGGTACACGTGGGAGATGCCGAGGCGCGCCTGATTGGTGGAGCCACGCGTCCTTGTCAGCACCGACAATGGCACACGCCAGCAACTTCATTTCAGAAAAGAACAAGCAAATGATAATCTCTCAACAGCGTGCAATAAAAAGATCCAACGAAATTTAAGAGTGAGTATATTCGTGCATAAACATAGACATGACATATTGTTGTAAAGGAGGGGTATATAACCAGAGTATCGCATCGCATCGCCTAGTGTCGTATATCGTATATCGTATCGTATCGCGTAACATTCCGTAATATGTACTCGAACAAGAAGAAGAGGAGCAGGAGAGCGACGTTGCACTCATCAATCAGAGTGCCAATCACTCGCCTGACTCTCTCCAAACTCGCTCCTATAGCGCCTACACAACCAAAAAGTCAACACACCAGTACTCGAACAAGATAGAAACAGCGGCAACAGAAAGAGCACTGGTGACAGCGAGACACAAAGCAAATCGCACTTACTCATCCCTTCCGCCCCCGTTTTCACTGCTCTCGCCCTGCATGCCCAGTTTGCTTGCGTCCAATTTCGCCAGTCCACTCTCGCCGAGTGTGTCTCCGCCCCAGCCTTCCTTCTTGCCCTCGATGAGCATCTTCATCATATCCTTCAGTTCGCTGACTTCTTTCCTCAGCTGCCTGACTTCCAACACCGCAGTGTCGAACTCGACATTGGGACGCGAGGCCTGAACCTTCTTGTCCCAGCCGTCGGCTTCAAAGTCACAACCGTCAAGGACTTGTTCCCACTCCATGGTTGTGTCTTCGTCGTCTTCGCCGCGGCGGCGGTTGTCTCGGACGACCCAGGCTTCTTGTTGTTCGAACATGGCGGTGATGACGAGGAGGGGCGAGTAGATTACTGCCATGACCTATTTGGTGTCAGCTTTCTGTGCAAGCATATCGCTTTGAAAATGATTTGTGGAAGAATGCTGTAATCAGTACTAGGTGATAATTGTCTCATAGCCGAAGCTCTGAAGTAGCAAATACATAGAAATCATCATATAAACAGCGGAAGGGAGGGCCTATGCGAGGAGGAATCACGTACCATATCGTTGAGCTTGTCGTAGCGCTTCTCGTCCATCCACCACTCGAATGGAAGAATCAAGAAGAACATCTCGATGAGGTTGAACGGAGCGATGAAGACGTTCTCATCGGGAGCGCGAACGAACTGCATCGTCTTCTGCGAGAAGAGAGCCATGTACTCGTCGATGGCGTTCTGTGTGATGTCTTCGTAGGCCGAGTTGTAGAGAGCGATGAGGACGTTGAGCAGGATGACCATGACGACGAAGGTAAAGATGTAGTAAAGAATGATACCGAAGGGAGGCTATTATTTGTTAGCTCGAGCTTGAGTTTAGTACTGTAGGATGCGACCTACCGAGAAGTTGTCGAAGCCTTCAAACTCAGGCGATTGCATGACAGCGTTCAACATGGCTTGGAACACGAAGACAGTGTCGTTAGCAAGCTGATCGTCCGCGATGTCCAGACCGATGAAGGCCTGGAAGAAACCAATCATGACAACAAGGAGTAGCATGAAGAAGATGAGCGACTCGCGCATCATAACCTTAAGCACAACAAGCATGGCACCGAAGAAGCGGAAGGTGTCGAGGTATAGCAGCAAACGCATCCAGAACATAGGCGCAGTGAAAGCCAAGAAGTCGTAGCTCATCTTGTTCAGATACTCGCGTCGAGTGTCCTTCTCGTCACTGATAGGGTGCCCAAGAGCTACCATGCGCAGGACAAAGCTGACTGTGAGAAGCGAGTACAAGGTACTGTTGAACATGTTCCAGAAGGAGATGTAGAACCGTCCAACCTTCCAGAACTTGTTCGCCTCGTCGCAGATGAAGCCCAAAGTGAAGAGGTACAGCAGACCTTCGACGACATCCAGGTCACCAG